TAATTAACTGACCTTGAATGCTCTATGGGATTGTTGTAAGCACAGTCAGAAAATGCACTGACTGTATTTTTGTCCATATTAAGCTGCTTTTCATGTCCTTTCCAAAAGACAGAATGCCTACTGTGGAAATAATCTTCATTGGGTAAACAATGTAGGCTCTCTCTGCAGAAAACCTGTTATTCCTTGAGCATTGCCACATACTTGTTAGTTCTTGTATCTGTAAAGGAGTGTCAGTATATGTATATGTTAATATACATTTAGTAGTTACAATGAAAAATAAAGTAGTTATTTTCTAATTATGTAATGGAAATTAAACTATGTAGCAGGAAAAGAATAAGGTTAAACTTATTAGAAAATTATATTAGAAATACAGAAAGCTAATAAGTGACATACTTGTAAATTTGTTGGAGATATTTACATGCAAAACTTAAGTGAGACCTAGATATCAACATATATTACTTGTATCAGAGTCAAATTTGTACTATGAGCCTGTGATAACTCTTCCTGAAAAAAAAAAAAATAAAAACAGCTAAACCCTAAACTCTACACTGTTGGTTGAGGTGAACAGACCTGTCTTCACATAACTAATAGTGCAGCTATGATTAGTGCATATGACTTAAGAATGGTTAAATCAGAATGTGAAAAATAAAAGTCATGTAATGAAAATGACAATTTTTAGTTTGTTTGTATATTGAAGAAAGTTGAGAACTCCAGGTATTGTCTAGCTCAACTAAAATATGTATACTTTTTTCTTTTTCCTATTTTAAGAAAATATTATTGCTAACCTTTGACCTAAGAAACTGGTTTTGTAACTGAAACCAATAAATTATATAGGTCTAAACAATGTGCGGTATTAAGAGATCGTAGAATCATAGAATTTCAAGGATAGGAATGGACCTTACAGATCATCTAGTCACAACCTCCACTGCCATGGGCCGGGATACCTCCTCACTAGATCAGGTTGCTCAAGGCTTCACCCAGCCTGGCTTTGAACACTGCCAGGGTTGAGGCAGCGACCACTTCCATGGGCAACCTGTGCCAGTGTCTCACCACGCTTAGAGTAAAACACTTTTTTCTAATATCTAACCTAAACTTTCCCTCCTTCAGTTTGAACCCATTACCCCTTGTCCTATCACTGGACTTCCTAACAAATAGTCCGTTTCCAGCTCCCTTGTAGGTCCCTTCAGATATTGAAAAGTTGCTATGAGGTCTTCACAGAGTCTTCTCTTCTCCAGGCTGAACAGCCCCAATTTCCTCAGCCTGTCTTCATAGGCGAGATGCTCCAGTCCTCTTAGCAACTTCGTGGCCTCCTCTGGACTTGCTCCAACACTTCCATGTCCTTCTTATGTTGAAGGGTGGGATCTCACGAGAGCAGAGTAGAGGGAAAGAATCACCTCTTTTGACCTGCTGGTCACACTCCTTTTGATGCAGCCCAGGATACAATTGGCTTTATGGGCTGTTAGCGCACACTGCTGGCTCATGGGGAGCTTCTCATCCACTGTCACTCCCAAGTCTAATTTCTCCACCTCCCAAGTCTTTCTCCTCATTGCTGGTTTTAATGACTTCCCCACCCAGCCTATAGCTGTGCCTGGGATTGCCATGGCCCATATGTAGGACCTTGCACTTCATTTTGTTAAACTACATGAGGTTTGCATTGGCCAACCTCTCCAGCCTATCAGGGTCCCTCTGGATGGCACATCCCTTCCCTCCAGTGTGTCAACTGCCCCACACAGCTTGGTGTAATCAGCAAACTTGCTGAGGGTGCACTCAGTCCCACTGTCCTTGCTGCTGACAAAGATGTTGAGCAGTATTGGCCCCAGCACCGACCTCTGAGAGACACTACTTGTCACTGGCCTCCACATGGACAATGAGCCACTGACTACAACTCTGTGTGATTGTCCAGCCAGTTCTTTATCCACCGAGTGGTCAACCCATCAGATCCATGTCTCTCCAATTTAGAGACAAGGATGTCGTGTGGGACAATGTCAAACGCTTTGCATAAGTCCAGACAGATTATATCAGTTGCTCTGCCCCTATCCACAAATTCAGTGGATACAGAAAAATACAGTTTCTTTTTATCTGTTATTCATTGGATCAGGTAGACTAGTGGGTTTCCTTAAGGCGTGCTCAGTCATCACTTTTTTCAAAGGAGATAATTGTTATCTGGGATTTCTTCAGTCTGACTTGACTTGGTGTTGACACCTTTAACAGTGTGAGTTCCACTTAGCTGTGGTGGAAAAGCCTCAGTATTGTTCATCAGCACTCTAAAATTTTTCTTTTCTCTGCAAATGAACCTTGGGGGAGAAATCTTACTTCCATTTGGATAGCACATAGATAAGTCTTTGAAGCTAGACATTAGCAGAAGCAGTAAATTGAGAGATTTTGGCTGTTTTTCTGAAAGAGTATATCTTTGCTTTTAAGACTTAGCAAAATAGGCACTGCTGGTAGCCATACACATTTGCTTTCATGTTTTCCAGTCAGTACATCTCGCTAGACCTGTCTGTATCTGATAGTTTTCCCTGAGTGATTCTTTTGTATTCTTCAGTTTTAAAGGTGTTTTCTTTTTTTTCCTATTGAAAACAATAATTCAAACTGCAGTGATCTAGCACTTCTTATCATAGAATGGTTTCAGATAGAACAGACCTTTAAAGATCATCTAGTTCTACCCCCTGCCATGGGCAGGAACATCTTCCACTAAATCAGGTCGCTCAAGACCTCATTCAACCTGACTGAAAGCTTCCAGGGATGAGGTATCCACACCTCTGGGTAACCTGTGCCAGTGTCTCACCACCCTCGCAGTAAAAAATTTCTTCATTGTATCCAATCTAAATCTACCTTCTTTCAATCTGAAACTGTTGCTCCTTGTCCTGTCATTACAGACCCTGGTAAAAGCTCTTTTTCTGTCTTTCTTGTAAGCAGCGTTTAAGTACTGAAAGACCATGAAAAGGTCTTCCTGAAGCCTTCTCTTCTCCAAGCTGAACAAACCCATCTCTCAAAGCCTTTTTTCATAGAAGAGATGCTCCAGCCCTCTGATAATTTTCATGACCCTTCTCCAAACCTGCCTTGACAGTGGTCAGAAGAATGATCTGGGGAACTGCAAGCCAGTCAGCTTGACCGCAGTACCGAGGAAGGTCATGGGGCAGATCATCTTGAGTGCCATCACATGGCATGTGCAGGACAACCAGTATATCAGGCCTAGCCAGCATGGGTTTATGAAAGGCAGGTCCTACTTGGCCAACCTGGTCTCCTTGGACAAGGTGAGCCACTTAGGAAAAGACTGTGGATGTTTTCTACCTGGTCGTCTGTAAAACCTGTGACACCATCTCCCACAGCATTCTTCTGGAGAAATTCTGCTCATAGCTTGGACAGGTGCATTCTTCACTGGGTAAAATATTAGCCACATGGCTAGGCCCAGAGAGTGGTGGTGAATGGAGTTATATCCAGCTGGTGGCTGGTCACCAGTGTATTCCCCAGGGTTCAGTATTTGGGCCAGTTCTGTTTAATATCTTCATCAGTGACCTGGGTGAGGGTATTGAATGCACCCTCAACAAGTTCGCAGACAAGAAGTTCAGTGGAGTGCTGATCTGGATGGTAGGAAGGCGCTGCAAAGGGATCTGGACTGGCTGGATCAAGGGACTGAGGCCAGTGGTTTGAGGTTCAACAATGTGCTGGGTCCTATACTGGGACAGCACCCCCCTGCAGCGCTACCGCCTGGAGGCAGAGTGGCTGGAAAGCTGCCTGGTGGAAAAGGACCTGGGGATATTGGTTGACAGCAGCTAAACATGAGCCAGCAGTATGTTCAGGTGGCCAAGAAGGTCAATGGTATCTTGGCTTGTATCAGCAGTAGTGTGGCCGGCAGGACTAGGGCAGTGATCATCCCCCTCTACTCAGCACTGGTGAGACCACACCTCAAGTACTCTGTCCAGTTTTTGTTGCCCTACTCTCGACACGCTCCAGCACTGAAGAAAGACATTGAGGTGCTGGAGTGTGTCCAGAGAAGGGCAACAAAGCTGGAGGGTCTAGGGCACAAGTCTTATGAGGAGTGGCTGAGGGAGCTGGGGCTGTTTAGCCTGGAGAAAAGAAGTCTTAGGGGACCTGAGACCTTATTGCTCTGTACAACTACCTGAAACGAGGTTGTAGCGAGGTGGGAGTCAGTCTCATCTCATAGGTACTTATTGACAGAATGAGAGGGAAATGGTCTAAAGTTTTACCAGAGGAGGTTTAGATTAGATATTAGGAAAAAAATCTGCATTGAAAGGGTTGTAAAGCATTGGACCAGGCTGCCCAGGGAAGTGGTGGCATCACCATCCCTGAAAATGTTCAAAAGGCATGTGGATCTGTCGCTTGGGGAAATGGTTTAATGGTGAACTTGATTGTGGTGCTCAGTTGACAGTTGAACTCAATGATCTTAAAGGTCTTTCCCAACCTTAATGATCCTATGATTCTGTGATAAACTGCACTGCTCAGCTTGTTGTCATCTACAACCTTGTTGAGGGTGCACTCAATCTTACGAAGTATGTCATTGGTGAAGGTATAAAATAATATGGTCCCTGTATGGACCCTTGAGGAACACTGCTCCTTACTGCTTTATGTTTTTATATTCAATCATTGGATATGTACCATCCACTCGTTGGATGTGGCCATCCAACTAAATCCTTATCTGTCTAAAATTTTATCCATCAAACGCATAGCTCTTCAATTTAGCAGCAAGAATATAAGAAAGCTATAAATATATTAGAACTCATGGAGTGCCATAAAGATGGTGAAGTGCCTAGAGGGGACGCCATATGAGGAGCATCTGAGGTCACCCGGTTTGTTCAAGCTGAAGAGGAGACTGAGGGGAAGCCTCGTAGCAGTCTACAGCTTCCTCGTGGGAGGAAGTGGTGGGGCAGGCACTGATCTCTTTGGTAACCAGTATGAAAAGCGATGCAAAAAAATTGCTGCATACCTCAGCCTTCTCCATGTTGGTTGTGACTAGCTCTCTCTCATTTTTTGGGGGCAGAGATGGGAATGGGGTATGTGTACATTTTTTTAATCCTTCTTTTCTGACCAGCATGCCTGTAGAAGCCGTTCTTTTTATTCTTTGCATCTCTTGCCAAATTCAGCTCCAACTGTACCTTAGCTTTTCCAGTCCTGTCCCTACATAGCCGGGCAGGGCCCCTATATTCTTTCCAGAATACATGCCCCTGGTTGCACTGCCTGTGCTTTTCGTTCTTGTGTTTCAGTGTGACCAGGAGGTCCTTACTCAGTCGTTCTGGTCTCCTGCCTTCATTGCCTGAATGCTCACAGATGGGAATTGAGAGCTCTTGAGCTCTAAGCTGTCTTTAAAGACCTGCCATCTCAGTTCTGCTCCATTATACCTAAAGGCAGTTTCCTAGGGGGTTGCACCCACTAATTCACTTAATAACTAAAAGTTCAGGCTTCTAAAATTCAGGGTACTGGTTTGGCCTGTATGCCTCAATATTGTGTATTCTACCAGGGCATGATCACTTCAGCCTAGGCTGCCACTGATCTTGACGTCTCCGGTTAGTTAATCTGGGTCAGTGAACAACAGTTGCAGTAAGACTTCTCTGCTGGTTGGACTATCTGTTGCCTGGGTTAAGAAATTATTCTTAATGCCCTCCAAGA